TAAAACGCAGTTCAGATTCAGCTTCAGAGATGGTAAGCGTGGCTTATCACAGTGGGATCTTGAAGCGATGGCAATTCATATCCTGTGCACAAGTGGGATTTAAGATTCTGCAGCCCTTTCGATGCGTTCTCGGGCAAGGATGTAGGGCGTTAGAGGTAAGTAGTGCAGGAAGCAGCTTTCAGCTACCTATTAACACGTGACAGCTTTGAAACATTCAAGATCCTCTGCCCACTATCCACATTACTCAGCTGTCAAAGGAAAGGCCTCAGATTTATGATGTGAAAATTACATTTTAACGAGGTGTCATATGTGTTTAAAGTTCTTATTCATCACCATACTGCCACATCTTTTACCCAAGACTCAAATGCACTTAATTAGCATACTATGAGGACAGAGGGTTCACCTTATCTGCATTATAAAACTGCTTCAGGAAGAAAAAACACAAAACAGCCCAGACATTCTCATTGAATAAAACGGTTGCAATCACACATCAAAAGAGCATGCCACAATACTTGGCAAAATGTGGAAGATAAAATTTTGACATGCACCCTCTGAGGCTTTTAAGTTATCACAGATATTGACGGAACCTTTGTATCTCATTTGGTTATCAGAATGGCAGTCCACAGCGTTAATATGCAATCTATGGACACCACTTAAGCAGAATGAGGTTGTATTAGGAGTCCTACATACAATACCACTGTCTTCCTTATGTATTAGGCATATTTATTTATTAAGTTCATACATCTATTAAACACCCCCTATGATAATGTTTGGGTCCCCTGGACATAATTCAAAACATCTTCTCATGAATAGGAGGTCTGTATGTCCCACATCATTGGGAACAGCTGCCAGGACATTCAAGTACCAGATATGCACAGAGGGATTATCAACCTGGATTATCTTCCCTGGGCTTCTTCACTGTCAAGCTATGGGACAGGCTCCAGTCCCCACCTAAGCACCTGAACTCTCAGTCGGCACATCCCAAGCCCCAGCAAGAGCTGCCAACACTGGCACGGGGTACCCCAGTCATTTAAAGACAAAACTTCTGGTCTCTCTGCTGCCCAGAAACCCCTACCTGGTGCCCAAGCAGGAGCCAGAACAGCGCAGGGAGGTGCAGAGACACAAAACCGTGAGATGTGCAGTTTGTATGCAGCACAGCACTGGGAAGCAGGATGGGAGCACTTTCCGTTTTTGGAGAGGAGGGTTTGTTGATATTTTCTTGAATTTATTTGCGCAGAATGCATCACAAGTGGGTGATGATTAAAACAGGTAGCACTGGTGCATATTAAGACTGATTAGGCTGCAGAAAATTTTCATATTGTCAATACAGCCTTCTGTTTCCCTCTCTGCTTATCACACAAAAAAATAACTTGAACACTGTTCTGGGTTTAACTTCTTGAAGAATGTGATGAGGTGCAGAGTTTTTCTTACTATCACTCCAAATTAGCAAACTCAACACCAGCTACAAAGAAATAACCCAAAAACTCGGGAGGGGTTATGAAGAAGCATCCTCCAAAAAGCTCATTCTAAGGCCAAACAGCTTAAAGAAAATACACTTCAAAGGCTTTTGGTATCTTCAAGTTCAGTTCTTGAGGGTAGACACTAATGATCTGTTTCTTGGGACTTGAAGGCACTGAGCAGTGTTTGCTTTCAAAAACACATTTGGGATAAAAGAAAAAACAACCCCAGACAAAAGGAAAAAAACAGTGGGATAAATCCTTAAAATGCAGTTTTTCCCGTTTCTGAGAATAATGAACAATTGGGTTTAATTCCATCAAGAGCCTTGAAATGCTTCTAGATTAGCTAAACTCAACTTTTAACACTTCAAAATATTTTGTCTTCCCTGGTAACTTCAACTGCTACAGAAGATGAGCACAGAAACTCCAGGGTTTGACACTCATTTACTCTGAGGAGTAAAACCCCATTTTTTTAAACAGTGGGTGAGAGATGCTCTACAACACTGAAGATCTCAAATATGTTCCAAACCTATATGCACAGCTCTTTAACTAAAAATCACAGAAAACGTTAAGACACTGTAAACAGCAAGAGGATGTGATCCCTGCTTTTCCTATAAACTACTATCAACTCCTGTCTACTCTCATTTTCTCTGGACAGTTTGGTAAAAGACTGAAAAGTGAACTGGAGTCCCCAGAATCTGTTTTTTATTTTAGATATCTCTGAAATGTATGATACTAGTGATTTCAAATACGTTTCAAATATGTTACTATTTAAGTAGCTAAATATATCACTTTTCTTGTTACGACCAATTTTTGGGTTTAAGAGCTCTTCTAAAACTTCAGTCTTAATTGTTTTTTAACAACCCATATGTTCAACCCATCAATTTTACAACCTTTTTTTTATTTTCTAATTAAGCAGATATTGTTTACAATATTTTGCTACTCAAACTGTAACCCTATGGAAAATGGCTGCATTGAACATTGCTCTAATATGGAGAAACACTGACAATTTTCAACAAGAAGGAAAATACATATCCACAATCCACTCTATAAAAAAATAAATATCTAAAAAACAAATAAAAATATCCTCAGTTTTCACTGCTTTCCCAGTGTCATATTGGCTCCTGTTCTGCTCTTTGGTGGAGGAACTGGGCTCAAGCCAACCATATATTTAGTGTTACATGTAAAGCAATGCAGCATGAAATTTGGTGCTAGCCAGAAAATGAGTTGCATTGAATTTGGAAGAGAGCATCATGCAGATCTGGTCTCCTGGCTCCTCTCTGCAAAAAAACCCCTGGTATCAAGCAAGTGTTTGCTCACCTGTTCAGTTCAAAAATCAGTGCTTCTGCTTGACTGATTCATAAAATAATGTTCCCACTAATCAGGCTATGTGGTAATGGAGCACTAAACTCCCCTTGCAAAGTTATTTTTCTTCGCTTTGAAATGCCTTGGCCCATTCAAATTGTCTCATTGAAAAATTCAGTTGCTGTTAGAGCAGTCCTCTCAAAAGTCTTCTAAACCCATAAAATAGTGAGGTAATGGGATCCTTATGGATTTCTGCCAAAAAGGAAATCCTGACAATTTTCAAAGAAGAGGAACGCATGTAAAATTCAGCCTCACGTCCACATTACAAAGCTATCAAAAATTGCACAACAGGAACATCAGAGAAGGTCACCAGATTCCCTGACACCAGATTAACCCTCTCATGCCCACCACCCAAACCTAAAAACTGCTTCAGCAATCTAAAGCACTGTAGGATTTTAATTTATCTTCCAAACAAGAGAGCAACAAGGACAAATCAAATCCTTGCACCACACGGACTTTCAGTCCCCTGCAAGGTTTTCCCTTGCTGTCTCATCTCACCAGTTTAGACTGCGGAAAAAAGGAGAACAATTTCCTTTTTTTCTGGGAAAGCACAAAATTTAGGTTTTTCACTGATTACAGCTTTCTTTTTTTTTTTTTATATAAGATACTATTACTGACAACAGTCACCAAATGAAAAAGCGGTAGCAGAGAGTCCATTATAATACCTGGAAATAATTCACTGAAAAGGAAAGCCTGTGAAATAGAAGGGATACAATTGATTCTCACTCCTTGGGGATAACCAATAGCTCACAAATTACTCTGCTTCACTCCAAGACTCAGAAAGTACATGCTGATCATTAGGTTGGGAGAATGAGAAGTATTACTTCATTTTTTGCTCATCTGAGATTTTGCAGAGGTTAACATCATCAAAAATATCTCTACTCCTGGCTTAACAGTCACTCGGTTTTTGTTCATCTGCCTCCTTAAGATTTTCTTCTCCCCTTCCTTACATTTTCGAATAAAAATGAGAATTTAATTGCCATTTTAATGCTTTTATTCCAACCCTTCCCAGATTTTCATATCCACAATTTCTGTCAGCATTTCTTGGTACATTTTTATTATATGGTAAGAGGTTGCACACAGTAAAAAAAAAAAAGAAATGCTCAGCAACAGAAACCTTTTGACTTCTCTTGCACTTTGAAACCCTGAATCCATTTACCCACTTTGAAGTTTCTTGCTTCCAAAAAGAAACGTTTTAGAAATAGCCATGTTATGAATTGAATACTTTACTGTCCAAATTACATTAATAACATCTTTTTTCTTACTTTTTCAGCCTTTCAAAATACACAGTCCACCACAGGAACTACCTGAACTATGACTAAATCACATATAGAAGCAACCATTTGAAAATGACTGAACAAATGCTGTTTGGAAATTCTTGAACTGTCATACAAGTTAGACCACAATCTAAGGCTAAGTCATGTTACTAATAAAGTGGCAACTTTATACTTGTGAAATGATTAAGAAGTTGATAAAGTTAAGGGAACATTACTAAGTAATTACCAGCACAATTTCTAAGAGGGGAAAAAGGTGGAAAAGCTGGGAAACCTCTGGGGGTCAGATAGTTCTCTGAGAGAAAGTACAGTAAGTCACAGTAAGTAATGAAATGCTTTAAAAAAACCCTAGAGCAACTTTACAGAAAATAAACCAAGAATGTGTAGGATTTTAGTGTTGATTCCCCTCCTGACTCTAGACACACACTCGTGGGTGCATGTATGCAATTAGGCTCAGCTTTTCTAAACAGACAAAACTCCCCCAGCTTAATGAAACAAAGTAATTTAAACTGGCAGGCAGTTTTTCTCCAGATGTTTGCAGTGACAGCATCTTTTAGATTTTATTTTGGCTGAAATTCCTGCAGAAGGGAAAACAATTTGATGATATAGGAAAGAAAATTCAAGCAGAAAAGACTGCTACCCCTGTGATGTGAGGAAGAGCATGGGCATTTGGAAACTGTTTCAGGTTAATTATGCATAGCATACTCCTTTGTACACTTTATTTCAACTATGACCAAAAAAAATATTCTGCACATATAAATGTCTTAATAACCATCACAGGTTCTGTGGTGCAGGTTAATTTACAGAAACTCAAGCAGATCAGTAAGACAGGCGTGTACTTCAATTTTACACCTTATTTGCAAAAGAAACAATTTAGAATTTGTTTTGGCATTAAAACTCTTACCTGCTCTGCTGTCCAGTGGGCCAAAATCCAAGGAGTATTTTACAACATGATAGTTGTTCCATACATAAAGCAGGTTGTCCCGGGGATTATAATCCACAGCAGCAATGTACTGGTAGGAGTTTGGAAAGGGCACATCCACCATGCTATCCTTGCTTTGGTCAGTGTTATATATGTAGTCTATTTTATTCCCTGTGGCTTCATTGTCGTCATCTTCATACACAGACTTCACCACGTATAAAATCCCACAGATCATGAAGGCATTCGAAGCTGACCTCTTGTCATAGGCAGTATCCCACGTTCCTTCGATCCTTAACGTGTAAGGGTTTAACTGGCTAATGACTATTTTGCCATTATTTTGTTCTGTTGCATAGATTACCCACAGCCCGTTCTCATCCACAGCCAGGTCTATGTCGGACTTGCCTCCCCAGCGGTAGGGAGAGGTGTCGTGGTAGTTTGCGTTCGCTATGATGGCCTCCCCGCTTTTTATCCTTGTCCGCAAGTCAAACTTGACGATGTTCCTGGTCCGCTCCTTGTTGAAGAACAAAGCCCCATCGTACACCACGAACCCCGTGCCGTCCACCCGGTGCGGGAGTTTGTAGGTCGTGGTTGGCCTCCCGGCGATGAAGTCGTCCTTGGAGGAGTACTCCGTCAGCGTGTCTGTCCGGTACGGTGTCCAGGGCATGTAGTAGATCTTGTCAGATGCCTGCAGAGGGTCCTTGCACCAGGCACCGGACTGGTGGTCGGATTCAAATAAGTGTTCGCTCTGGTACACTCCTTTCAGCAGTCCGGGGCAAAGAAAAACTGTTATCGGGGAAAAGAATTTGAAAGAAAAACAAAGTTAACGACAGTTCAGGGGTGGTCGGCCCAAGCATCTCAAAAGCTTCTAGTCCTGGAGTAGAGGACACTTGAGACCAGTGGAAACCCAAGAGCAATGCCTTGTACCTAGAGACTAACCTTGCTGCCCTCCATGTCTCTAGAACAAGATTTGCTCCATCGAACTGATTTCCCCCCCTGCTTTTTCTATTAACTGTGGCTTGTTTTCTCATTGCTTTTCGAATCTATTTTTACAGGTGTACTTACTTGGACCACTCGCCTTTGTAAACTCTGAAATGAATATGTGCCCCCAAAGGATTTCTGGGTTTGTATTTCCAAATTATATTCTGCAGTGAATCTGTACCTACTGGGTGAAGGGCTAAACTCCGAGGGAATTGATCCACATATTTATTTGAACAGCCCATAGAAGAGTGGCCTAGAAATGGAAATAAGAGAAAGAAATTCCCATCCTTACAGCCCAAGTGATATTAAATATTTAAAGGGTACCAATAGCAAAGCAGAGGCGAATCCCTTAGCAACTCAGAGGAGTGTTTTAAGCAAAGGGAGTTGGGGGGAAACAACCATCTGTAGTATAACTAGAAATGAGATTTTCAAAGCTGCTACAGGACACATGAAACATGCAGTCCACACAATTAAAAATGAATGACATATGGATGCTGAAAGGAAAAGATAAGGAAGGAAGGAAGAAAGGAAAGAAGGAAGGAAAAGAATAAAGTTCGCTGGAGAGGAACCCAAGGTCTAGATTTTAATCAGTTAAAAAAATGTCCTGTTAAATATAGTAGTAATTCAAACTTAAAAACATATACCTTCTATTGTTACATGAGAGGAGCACAGAGGAGCAGTTTGACTAACTGGGATGCTTTGCTGCTCAGACTTCGGGTGGGGTGGGGGGTGCTGAGAGGGGCCAGGGCATGCCCAACACCTGGGAGGAGGCTCAGCCGGTGCCCAGCTGACCCTGGCACCACAGGAACGCCAACACCAAGAGGCCGGCCAGCTGGATGGGGAGGCAAAAGGAGGGATGCTGCAGAGCAAAACCAGCTCGTTTAGCCCTCGTCATCCCCGCTAGCAGCCTCCTGACTCGGAGGTGCGTGTGCAGCTTTGGGGGGAGAATACATGTTGGTTATTTGTAATGCTGATCTCCACGGGCGTGAGTGGTACCGTAACCACGACGACAGGATGGGCAGCTGGGAAGCACGAAGAGGTATCCCACCACGTACTTCCGTTAGCATGGGGATGGCAAGATGGGATCCCACATTCACACTTCCTGCTCGGAGTGTAATTAATTATTTTTGTAAATGCAGAAATTGGTAATGTTGTCTGCAGAACAAGATGGGAGGAAAATCAGATTCAATAACTGGCATAAAATTGTATAGATCCATTGGAGTCTAAGTAACCACACAGAGTTGCTGATAAAGAGGTGCCATTTCCAAGAGGCTTTTATGCCATAATTAGTATACTTATGCACATACGTACATATGCATATTTTCCAAATTCTTTTGGGTAGGAGAAGAGTGAGTTACCTAAGCCTTTGAATAGAAATTTAATGAAAAAAAGTGGCAGTGGTAAAAAAACCTTTCAGCAAAAATGAGTTATCCGGTGAAGTTGAGCAGCAGAGATACTAAATAAACTTTAACAAAAAGGTAGTGAGAATTAATGACAAAGTATTTCAACTAAAACGTTAAACTGTTAAATAACTTAGCCTATACATAAGTAATATATATATATAATTTGAAAGGTATTTAATTACCTTTTTGTTCCACTTCTATTGTAGAGAGAGAGGTAAAGAGAGAAAGGAGAAAAGAGAATAGATTAATGGTACTGTATTGGCCAGGTATTTTTCTTTACCTCTTCCATATGAAAAGGAAGTTTCATTAATTTACTTTAGTATGTGAACATTTTATATATATATATATATAAACCTTTCCTCTGATATACACTGGATAATATGCAGACAAGCTGAACAAAATACAGATTAATTTTAACTTCAGAAAAATCTTTAAGATTAAAAAAAAAAAGCTCAACACTTGGGACATAATGAGCCCCCTGAACTATTTGAAATATCGTGTCAGCAGCAACCTTGGACCAGTTTCATAGAGCAAAATGAAATACCCATAAACTGAAATATGACTGATACAGATTTATGTATAGAATAAAAATTCCAGGGAGAAACTTTATAGAACATACATCTTCATGTATTTCACCAAAGTCCTGTGAAACAGAGATCCCTACTTAAAGCAGGAGAATATTTCCTTGTGACACAAAAAGAGAACTTAGGAGAGTTAAATGAAGCACGTCGTTGGATATTTGTAGAGTCCTGTCCTATATCCTTGGAGAAACAAACTTTAGTAAGACTTGAGGAGAAAAAAAACCCAAACATTTGAAATATTGTAATATTTATATGACTTATAAGATCCCAAAGATTTAAAGTGTTGATGAGTTAAAAATATCTAAGCACTATTTAAAAAGCCCAACCCCAGAACTTGCTGGATATTTTTTGCTGAATTATTCACCATGTCTCATAATGCAGCTGAAGAGGCTGTGTCCCTTCAGACAAAGCCCCTTGCAGGCAGAATAAATAAATGCAGTGCACTTATTAATTGCTAAATGCTCAGTACTAGTTTCTGTACCAAGCAACCTCCTGTGAGAAGCTTTTGGGGGGCCTTATCCAAAAGCTTCCTGCAGTTGTGGCACAGACCCTGTCTTTTACAGCGTGGTGGGGACACAGACATCTCCTGCAACCCCAGACCTGGGGTTTGCTGGTTCCTCAGGGCCTCTTCCCTGAAGGGGTAAGAGAAGACAAGCCCCATAATATATCAGAGGGAGAAGTGAGAACTTGCCAGCAAACCAGTATGATTTTGACAGCAGAGGGATCTCTGTTCAGAGAAGCGAGACAAGAATGCAAAGGTATGCACATGTGCTTTGATTTTGCTTGCTCAGAGTTCACTCCAGCCCCTTCCAGACTGTCCTCTGGTGCTGGGATTGCAAATCTCTTTGCATTCAAAAGTCTCAATTATTTGGATGGGAAACTGCAGGCTCAATAGCAGAACAATTCCAGGATAGGGCTACAAATGCACTGGCCAGACACTGGATCTACACTTCCCCGTGCAGGGAGGCACAAAGCTGGAGCCAAATGCAGCTCCCATAACGAGTGTTTCCAAACTTCAGCAGCCTTTTTTACCTGGGCTTTGATTCAGGCTCCTTTCTACTTTGTAACAGGTTAAGGTTAAAGGCAAATGTTTTCAGCATGTGGCTGTCAGGGCTCTGGGGAACAGAGACAATGCATTTGAGTGCAAGCACCTGATTTTGCAAGGGAAAGAGCCAGCAAGATTAAAAGGCTCCAGACTTAGCAATTGGAGAAAACTGCACAGCAATTGTACTCCCCGTCCCAGGCTGTGGCTGGTCACGGTTAAGTAAGGTATTCAGAGAAACATTAAATGTCTCTGGCAAAAGCCAGAAGGCAACATGACAGATCCTCAAATGCATGGCTTCATGCTGATTCTTCTGGCTGATGGTATACAGTACCTCTGGCAGCATAGAAGGTAGCAATTTACATTTTCAAATGAGCAAAAGCTTTTGTAATGCACTCGAACAACAGTGTGATATTGTAAAGCACAAAGAGAGAAGCTTCTAGAGGAGATAATATATTTGCAGCCAGCTGCTCTGGGTGACCTGAAGTGTTGATTACCCTTATCCTGAATAGCTCATATGTGTTATTAGCGGTCAGTGCCATATCCAGCTCTCTTATAATTTCAAATACAGATGTGTTTTGCTGACCTGCTGCATGCTGTTTCCATTGTATGTATCCCAAATACATATTTTCCCTCTGCTGATTTAAGACTTAATGCTTTTGAATGGCAGTAATTACTCAGTTTATATTGGGGGGCCATATTTTTCAAAGAGGTTGCATCAGAGGCTTGGAGGATTTACCTCATAGAGCAATACTAAAAGGAAGGGTCTAATTATAGTCCAATTATCCCTTCAGTGACACAACACAGCACTGCAAAACTGTCTTCTGAAAAAACAGTGGAATTTTTTTAATTTCACCTAATTAGACAATGTTACATCTCTGTAATGCCTGTGCCAGTCCACAGAATTGAAGTACTGCTGATAGCACAGGGGCCACCTTACCTTCCTACAGGGATCTACAGAAAAAGCAGGCATACACAACTTTTACTCTTACAGCGAGATCTTCCATTCCTGCTATCTCTGCGTTTGAGGAGAACAAGGATATTTCTCCTCAAATTCATATGCTGGTTGCAGGCCAGTGCCATTGGCTTCAACAGTGCCTGAGGCCCAAAGGAAATCAAAGAACCACTTGCCAGGTCTGAGGGAAGTTACGAACAAGACTTTCCACGTACAGTGATTTTCTCATGTTTCTTCAGATGGAAGTAAAACCGAGGACAATGTGCAATCATGGGTCACCACAGCCTGTCCCCAAGCGATCAGGCAAATTCCTGCCACCCATTCAGAGAAATCACACAAAAACATTAATTAAATGTTCTTAGCACTGCTGGTTGAGATTCTGAAAACACACTCTGGTACAATTAACACTTGAACAACATTGACTGCTCATTTTCTTACCACCACATTGAATTGCACTCAACCATTTAAGGCACAACCACACAGCGGCAGAGCCGTATAGAGAGCTGTCTCCCTGGCACTGCTTCAAACCCACACAACAGCAGTACAAAACTCCTGGAAAAAAAATTATGTGAGTAGGGAGATGTTAAAAGGCAATTACAAGAGTGAGAAGTGAGCAAAAAGTTGTGCCCTGTACTTTGTTAGCTGTTTGTTTGTTTGTTTGTTTTTCAGGGTAGATTTTTAATAGCAGAATAAGTGACATCCACTCCCTGTTCCTGTCCTTTACAGATCAGCCTGATTTAATACACTCAGACTAATAATTAATAGACTCAGTGTTAAACACATAGTCAATTGACAAAATAGGAGTAAAAAACCCAGGTTTTTGAGGCTGACCTTAGTAGCACAAGATGCAGCATCTCAGCCACATCAAGGGTGCTTCATGCCAGACTGCTGCATCTCGCACCCACCAACCAACTGGACCTGATGCATAGGCAGGTGAAGCTGAAAAGCAATCACCACACTAGGAAACAAATTAGGGAGAAACATCCCCAGAAGGCCTGGTCCCGAAAGATGACCCACGGTGCAAGATGGTGACCATCACACAGATGACTCACCACTTGGCCCTGAGCCCTGTTGCACTGGACTTGAGCACTGCAGCTCTCTCTGACTATCAAACCAAGTCCCAAAGGTGCCTCTTATCAGGGCTTCCCATATGAGGGTGGTCTGGGATCTACAGCCTCTTCTTTCTTTCTGTAATTCTCTAGACCTCAAGCATCCACATTTCTTTCAACCTTTGACATGAGGGCTTCCCTACAGCACCCACAGAAGGCTCTCCCAATTTACATGTTTCTCCCCAACACACAGCTCTATCTGTGAGTTTTAGGTTGAACAGGAACATGTTTGAGAACCTGCAAATCTAGTAAGGCACCCCAAAGCATGCCCTTGTAGAGCTTGCTCTTCTTTTTTGAAGTCATGGCTGGGTCCTGGAGTCACAGTCGCCTACTAAAAGGTTAAAGTAAACAAGAGACATACTCAAAATTCAGGGCATCCCAGCATGCATTGATAACAGACTTCCTTTTACCTATCAAAATAGAAAGCAGTAGTCTAGACAACTGGGCAACATCAGATTCACAGCACATCCAGCATGGCAGATCACTGACCACAGGACCCTGTAAGTCAGTGACAGAGAAACTCTGCCCTCTAGGTTGTAGGGAAATCCACTGTTGGGTAGGAGGTATTTCCAGTCACACTGATAGTAACAGGGTCCAGTAAAACGTAGTCCTGAGCAGTTTCTGTTCCTAACATCCACATTTTACCAAAGTGGTTGAGGTCCCTGAGGAAATGCAGCAGTTGATAGATCAGAGACAGCATGAGAGTAGTAGGGCAAGATACTGCAGGAGGGTCATCAGCTTCTCACTCACCCCTCTGCTTCCTCATACCAGCATCCAGCCAGCGAGGCTGAAGAGGACCACACCTGAACACATTTCAAACCCATGGTACTCTACTGCTCTACAGGTGGTATATAGGCAGATATCAATGGACAAACAAGGAGGAAAGCTGAGCTCTGCAGCAGCAGATCTAAAATAAATATATCTAAACCCAGGGAATGAAAATCTTAGAATCGTGGAATGGTTTCAGTTGGAAGGGACGTCAAAGATCATCTAGTTCCAACCACCTAGCCATGGGCAGGGACACCTTCCACTAGATCAGGTTGCTCACAGCCTCATTAAAAAAAGAAAATACTTGTTTTTTAAAAGTTAGGTTCAAAAAATAATTTCAAACACACTCAAACCCTCATACACAGTTTACCAGAAGAAAAGGTAAGAGAGCTAGCTCAGCATTTATGTGACATGTTCTGGAAATCTAAAGTTCAAAATGCTGCAGAAGTACCTGTCTCTGCTTCTTTTTCTTCTCCCCGCACATAATTAAAATGACAAAAGAGACCACATAGCCAAATTCAGCACTCACTCTGTGGAGTACAGACACAAAACAAAATACATGCCACCATTTCTCTCATCCACCCTCTCCTTCTAGTAAAGCCTGCGGTCCCCTTGTGCAGGTGGGTGGCCCACCAGACCCCAAATGCCTTAATAATGGTATCAGAGTCACATCCACTGCAGCAAGCTCTAGCCAGCAGAAGGTCAGTTGATGTTTTGCCTCTAAGCAAACGAAAGCAAATAG